AGCCTTCTCTGCCTAAGGTTTTTTAGGGTATTTTTATTGTGGGTAGGGGTAGGGGGTTGGGGGGTTTCTGTGTTAGTAAGAGGCAGGAACAAACTTTGTTGTTTTTAATTATTATTATTTCTTGGAGACAGGGTCTCATCTATCTCAGCCTGGTCCCAAACTCAGTATGTAGCTGCACATGTCCTGAAGTCCTGATCCTCCTGCCTCCACCCCCCCCCCCAACAGCGCTGCACACAGTGAGCACCACCACACAGACTTTTACACAGTTAGGGATGGAACCCAGGGCCTGGTGCATGCTGGGTAAGTGATCTACCAATCATTGTAGAACTCCAGCTTCAGGAGCAATATAAGATCCTTGGGGGGGGGGCAACTGTCCTTTCTCTTAGGTATCTAAAATACCATGTATGGGTCTGGCTATAGCTTGGTGCAGAGCATTTATTAACATCCATGAGGTTCTGGGCTTGGGTCCCAGCACTGCAAAAACAAACAAACAAACAAACAAAAAACCAAACTGGACTGGTGAGCGGGTTCTGAGGGCAAACGTGCTTGCTGTCAAACATGAGTCCAATCCATCCCACAAGATGGAAGGGGAGAATGGACTTCTGTAAATTGTCCTCTGACCTCCACCGTCCCCCCACACAAATAAATGTGTAACAAAAAATTTTGAAAATAAAAATACTGACTCACTTGAAGTTACAAGTTAGAATTTGTTTAAGAGTGACCCCAAAACTCCCTCTATTTTCCAAGCAAAGGAAAAGAAACACCTAGACATTAAATTGGAGACAAACTCAAGCCACACCCCTTTTTGCACGTTTGGTCGTTTGGTCGGTGTGGGGGCCAAAAAAAAAAAAAAAAATCATTTCTATTTCCAACCCAGACCAGACCAATGGAGGAGCTCCCTAAAAACAGAGCGCAGAGAAATCACAAGTAGTCTCACTTAAGGGCTGCAGGAAGGAAAACAGTTCAACTGAAAACTGGTAACTTGGGACTTCAAAACAACCCAGCCGGAAATGCTGCCTGCCTGTGTCTGTCAGCGACCCTGGGCTGCTGGGTCCTTCACCACACTGTTCACACCTGTGTGTTACTCAAAAGCAGCGGCCCCAGGGCTTTCTAAGGCCAGGGTGTGAGAAGCTGAACACAGGCCCATGGAGGTGGCGGGGAGAGTCCCAGTCACCCATGCAGCAGGCGGCAGCTAGGCTCAGGGAACAGTGTCCTGTAGCCACTCAGCAGATCCCCGGGAAGATGTCTCCCTAGCTTCTCCTAATTGCCCCTTTTACCCCTAAAAGCCCCCCCTCACAACAACTGCCCATTCTATCCAGGACAACCTCAAGACCCACACTTTTTATTTCTTGCTTATGTTTTTATTTAATTACATTTGTGTGTGTGTTGTTTTCTGTTTTTTTTTAAAAAAAAAAAAATGAAGAGAAAAAAAAAAAGCATTCCCCAAATCACAAGCTCATGGTTGAGCTGTCTGTTTTCCCTGTCTCCCAGCGTGAAATGCCCACAGCATGTCCTGGAGGCCACTGGTTCAGAGCAGTGAGCTGGGTTATGTTTGGGAAGACTTGTATGAGACGCTTAGCTTTCAATGACTGGAGCATAATCAACCTAACTGACACCCATCCACACATCCACAAGCCCTTCAAAGACGAACGACTGCTCCGGAAGTCACTGACAGGGATCACAGCGGATTCGAGGCGAGAGACTGGTTCTCTTCTGCCTCAGTTTCCAGAATGAAGCTGTGACAGTCATGCCCTGGGAGTTCAGTGCTCATTGGTGTGTGTCCCTCAAATGTGTGGCTAGCCTGGGTACAGAGGAGGGCTTTTCAGGGTTTAAAAAACTTTTCCAGTTTGTGGGATTGTAAATCTTTCAAATGAGTTAGAGTTAAACAACAATGCATAAACCAGTTAAAGAGAGTTCTGTTGTGTGTGTGTGTGTGTGTGTGTGTGTGTGTGTGTGTGTGTGTGTAACTCAGGGTCTTAAACAGACACAGTTTACCACCTAGCTACACCATCTGCCCTCCAACTGTACTGTATTTATCTGTGTGTTTACTTTGTGGTGCTGGGATGGAGCATGGGGATTTGAACACCCTAGGCAAGCATACTGCCATTTGTACCACAACTCCAGGCCTTGACCAGCAAAGTCTGAATCTCGCATGTCAGGCAAATTTGGCCAATGTTTTCCAATAATTTGGGTTAAAACATCTAGGAGAGAGAATTGTATAAATGGATAGGAAGTTTAGAATTAGGTATTGTTTGAAGATTATAATTTTTTTAAATTTAATTTATTTTTATTTTTATGTGCATTGGCATTTGACCTGCATGTCTTTGTGAAGGAGTCAGATTCACTGGAACTGGAGTTATAGACAGTTGTGAGCTGCCATGTGGGTGCTGGGAATTGAACCCAGGTCCTCTGGAAGAGAAGCTAGTGTTCTTAATTGCTGAGCCATCTCCCCAGCCCCTGAAGATTATATTTTTTGTTTTGCTGTTTTTCTCTTCCTTTTGTTTTTGTTTTTGTTTTGAGACAGTGCTTCTCTACCACCCTATATGATTATAATTTTTTTTCTCACTGATTTCACTTTGTTTTTCAGGTCAACATAAGGACAAATGTGGTTCATCTTCCACCAAGGGAGGCCAAGCTCAGTTTCTTACAACAGGCAAGAAGACCAGGGCCTTCCTAGGGCACCCTGCCTTGCTCTGTAAATCACAGTTCTCTGGGTTTTACATTTGTAGTTATTGTTTTCTTTTCTTTTGAGGTGCTAGAGATGGAACCCAGGGTCTTAGGCATGGAGGATAAGTGCTCTCTACCCCTGAGCAACACCTCCAGCCCTGGTTTCTGTACTTCTTCTTCTTCTTCTTTTTTTTTTTTTTTTTTTTTTTTTTTTTTTCGAGACAGGGTTTCTCTGTGTAGCTTTGCACCTTTCCTGGAACTCACTCTGTAGCCCAGGCTGGCCTCGAACTCACAGAGAGCCGCCTGCCTCTGCCTCCCAAGTGCTGGGATTAAAGGCGTGTGCCACCACTGCCCGGCCCTGTATTTCTAATTAAAGAATGGCATCACCTATTTCTCCAGAGGTGCCGATAAGATGTCAGCTCTGTAGCCTTCCGAGAGCTTGAGGTGGAGCAGACACTCAATATTATCATTATTAATCATTTTTGTGGTGCTGGGGATGAGACCCAGGGCCTTGTACATGCTAGGCAAATGCTCCACCCCTGAGCCGAATCTCCAGCCCTAATATTGGCTCTTTAAAAACATGTTTTAAGTTATATTTGACTTTGCGTACCCGTCTGTGTGTACTTGCAAGCACTATACACAAAGGAAGTCGGAGGACAACTTACGAGAATTGGTTCTCTTTCTGCCATGTGGGTTCTGGGGATTGAACTCGGGTCATCAGGCTTGGTGGCAAGCACCTCTACCTGCTGAGCCACCTCCCCATCCATCCCCTTCCTAGTACTGCTCTTTCACCAGGCTGTTGACAGTACTTGAATAAACCCATTGCCAAGGATGAACAAAATAAAACACCAAACAAACGAAAACCATTTGAGAGAGATGAGAGAAAGGAACTAAGGGTGGCGGCGCACACCTTTAACCCCAGCACTGGGGAGGCAGAGGCAGGCAGATCTCTGTGAGTTCGAGGTCAGCCTGGGCTACAAAGTGAGTTCCAGGACAGCCAGGGCTACACAGAGAAACCGTCTCGAAAAAACAAAACAAAACAACAACAACAGAGAGAGAGAGAGAGAGAGAGAGAGAGAGAGAGAGAGAGAGAAAGGAACTAGATTTTAAACAAAATACTTCAATTAAAAATACTTCAATTAAAACATTGCTTTGGAGACAGAGTCTCCTCAAACTCACAGAGAGCTTCAGCCTGTGCTGAAACTACAGGTGTGAGCTAGTATGCCCAGGCTCAAATTCAAATATTTTACAAGCTAGTGATTTTAGGCAAAAATAAAAGGCAAACTTGATTTTTCAAAATACCTCCTTCTTCCAGCCATAAGAAACTCTCACTCAAGCATGGTGTTTGGTAAAATTAGGATCTGTCCTTCCAGCTGAGTGTCTGAAATTGCACATGATGAACCCCAAGGACAGCGTGGAGCAGAGCCAACACAATGGGGTGAAGGACAAGGACCACCGAGGTTCCTGTAGATGTCACAGGATCTTCTCAGGTGGGGACTTCAGGGGCTGCAGCTGAGGGGCTGGTGAAATTCAGGAGGGCCCCAGTGGGAGGGAGGGGCGGGGTGGTAAGAGGCAGAAGGCGTTCTTAACACCAATACAAGATTTGGAATTGTTCTCCAATAGAAATACCAACAAAACGGGATCAAAACCAGACCATAAACCACCCCCACCCAACGCCTCTAATTTTTCTTTAATGATTCACGTGTGAGCATGCGCACATGTCTGTGTGTGGGTGCCGGAAGAGGCCGGAGACTCACATCGGAGTCTCTGGAGCTGGAGTTACAGGTATGGGTTGTGAGTGTGGAGGGGCTGGGAAGAGAATTCCTCGAAAACAAGAGGAATTCCTCTCAACCCCTGAGCCATCTCTCCAGCCCCTCAAAAGACTGCAGCGCAAATAAGGTCTTGGCATGAGTAAGGCAGAGCTATTAAGCTACTGGGTGGTGGACCGGGTGATTGGAGGGAGAAGTCTGGCCCCGGGGCTGACAGAGCTTGGGACCTGATGGGTCAGGATAGGTCCCCAGTGGACCCGGAACCACTGCAGAGCAGCTGGAGGAAGGACTAAAGAGCCCTGCACCAAACACTCGCAACATACCACACACACACTTGCCGAGCTACTGGGGTACACGTCCCTTTCCTGCTGGCAAAGGTGCTGAGGACAGACACCCCTCGGCCCCTCATGCCCTCTGCAACATTGTAAGGACAGCTGGTTTCACAGTTAGGGTTTTTTTGGTAAACAAAGTGTAAATATCAACCAGCAACCTCGACACCGAACACACGTGGTTCACATCAATGCCTAAATTCTAATCCAAGAGCCTGCTCAAGCTCACACTCACTCATGGCAAGTCTCCGGGAGGAGGGAGTCCATTTTCTTCTTTCTTAGCGGTCCGGTCTCCCGACATCACCAGGAGGCCCAGGGTAATGCTGCCACCTGCAGGTCAGACAGAAAAACACCTCAGGGAGGACCCAGAGCACCCAGAGCACCCAGCTGAAGTCACCCACTCCCAAGCAAGTCCTTTCCCTTCCCCCCTCCCTGACCTTTTTATTTTATATTCATTCATTCATTCGTTTGTTTGTTTGTTTGTTTCGAGACAGAAGTGTATAGCCCTGGTTGGCCTGCAATTTGCTTTGCAGACCTTCCTGCCTCTGCCTCCTGGGATTAATGGCATGGGCCACCACACCCCACGGGCGGCTGTTTATTTTTGAGACCTTGATATGAAGTCAAAGCTGGCCTGGAACCTGTGGGCTCTCCCCGCCTCAGCCTAAGGGCTGGGATTGGAGGCATGTCCCACCACACATGGCAGATGTATACATTAAAAAATTATTACAGTTATTTATTCATTGATTTATTTGAGAGAGAGAGAGCACGCATATACCATGGCATGTGTGTGCAGGTCAGAGGACAATTGTCAGGAATCTGTTCTTTTCTTCTACTATGAGGGTCTTGGAGCTGGAGGACAAGCGCTAGTCTCATCCAAATATTTTTCTTCCCTCTTCCTTTTTTCCTTTCTGAGACAGGGTCTCTCTACATAGCTCTGGCTATCACAGAACTCACTGTGGAGACCAAACTGGCCTCCAACTCACAAAGATCCACCTGCCTCTGCCTCCCTAGAGCTGGGATTAACACATGAGCCACTATGCCCAGCTCCCCCCACCCCCAAACATTTCTTAACAACAGCAGCTAACTCTCACACAGGGCTACAGTCTATATATTTGGCTTTTATTCATTTCTCAAACCCTCATAGCAACCGGTGAATGTTTTTTAAAAGGTCCTTGCCAATCAGCCTGATGGCAGAATTAGGCTGGGTGATTAAGGTGAATTAGTGGGCATCACCTGATTTCAAAGAGATTGGTGAAAAATGAAAACCTGGGGATGCTGAGCATCCTGGGGGTCATTCCCAAACCTTCATGGATACAGCACTGCCCTGGTGTTTGGGGGAGGGAGGGAGGGAGCTGCAGACAGACAAATTCCTCCTCTCAGGGCTCCCACTGCTGGGGGTGACCTGGGAAAGATGATAAATGCTGAGCTGGAGATGCAGAATGCTCGCACATGAGCAGGTGTCCAGTCCTGAGCTGGAGTCCTAGAACTCACGGAAAGCCAGGTGCAGTACTGCACGCACCTATAATCCAATCACTCCTATGGGGAAGTGGGAGGTGGAGACCAGAGACTCCCAGAAGCTCACAGGCCACCCAGCTGGGAGTTCACAGCACAGAGGAAACAATACAGACCCTGCCTCCAGCAAGGTGGAAGGTGAGGACCAACTCACAGTTCACCATGCCACGTGTATGCATGTGCTCATGTGAGTGTGCACATGTGCAAATACACGCACACAAATACACACATGCACAAGTACACGCACGCACGCACGCATGCACCCCACCCCCAAAATCAAACATGCTGAGCAGAAGCAAAGTACAGGAGGTAGAAAATGAGGACAACAAACAAATATTTACTCTGGTACTCCTCTGTCTCCAAGAGCTCACTGACCATGCCGTTTCTTGCTCACAACCGCATTCCAGGCACCCTTGCTAGGGATACAACTTCGGGCAAGAATTAGACATGGTCCTAGCTGCTATGGAAAGTTTGGTTACATAAGAAACATTTAATTGATCAAGTAATTGTGCTCCCTGCCTCATGGAGTATTAACACGGGAATATTTGCTATTAACCCAATTATCATCCCAACAAATGCAAAGCTGTGGAGTGAGAGCATCTGGGGTGGAAGGGGGTGGTGTGTGTGTGTGTGTGTGTGTGTGTGTGTGTGTGTGTGTGTGTGTGGTGACCCCTGCAGTACAAAGCAGCAGCCCTTAGGAAACATGCTATGTGTACAGGCTGGGTCACAGACAGGAAGCAGTGGGGTGGCAGGGTGAGGCTAAGAAGAGGTGTGGCCAGGCTTTCAGGGCACTTGCTGCCACGGGAGCCATAGCAGTCTTAGGCTCTGTGAACCACAGTACCTCTCAGGGTCCTGGGCAGAGGGGTAATGTACCCAGATGTGTGTCTTCACAAGATTATGCTAGGCGGCGAGCTGAAAGGCAGTTCCTCCAAAGACGTGACGTCTGACCCCGAGGCTGTGCACATGTTCCCTCCCACAGGCAAGGGGTGGCGCAGATGTGACTCAGTGGGGGTCTTGAGATGGAGTGCATCCAGATGAGCATAAATAACCACAGTTCCTCTCCAGAGCTTCCTGAAGAATGTGGTACTGCCAAACCCTCCATTTCACTACTTCTCACTTCCAGAACCATTAACAAGTAAAAGTATGTCTTGTCTTGTTTTAAGCCACTGAGTTGTGTAAATCTTTGGTGTGTGTGTGTGTGTGTACACATGCACGCATGCACTCACGAGCGCATGTGTGTGCATGTATGTGCACACGGGCAGAGGATAACTTGGAGGCGTTCTCTCTACTATGTGGGATCACACGCAGGTCCTTGGATGATTACAGTAGGATATTAGGAAGCTGCGTCACAGAGCGGTCTCAGCATCTATGAAAGCCAGATCTAGGACCCTGAGCAGAAGGGAAGATGGGAAGACTGCTTTCCTTCCGTGCCATCGCAGCCCTCCCCCACCCCACCCCCAGCCCTCTTGCTGCACAGAGGTCACAGGAGCTTAACTGGGTTCTAAAAGCATAAAAAGACCTAGACGCCTGCAGATGGCAAAATATCTGGCAGACTGTCCGGGCAGGGGGAAGTTAACTTTGCAATGTGTGCGTTAATGTGTGTGTTTTGTTCACATGTATGTGTGTGACTGATGCAGGTGCAGGCCAGAAAAAAACCTCTGGAACCCCTGGAACTGGAGTTACAGAGAGTTGTGAGCCGCCCTGTCGGTGTTGGGAATTGAACCTACATCCTCCGAAGAGTAGCCAAGGCTCTTAACCACTGAGTCATCCCTCAAGCCCCAGGTTTGTCCTGTTTTGTTTTTAATTCTATGGGTATGGGTGTTTCGCCTACATGTATGTCTGTATACCACACATACACAGTGTCCATAGAGGCCACAAGAGGCCATTGATTCCCTGGAACTAGGGCTACAGACAGCTCTCAGCCACCTTGTGGGTGCTTGGAACTGAAGAGCAGCCAGGGCTCTTAACTACTGAGCCAGCTCTCCAGCCCATTTGTTTTTGAAAAAAGGCTGGCCTCATACCACACCTTTTTTTTTTTTTTTAAATTAAGATTTGTCCATCTCTCTGTGTGCATGCACGCGTAATTGGGTGCATGCAGAGGCCAGAAAAGGTTATCAAGGGTCTCCCTTTATCACTTTCTGTCTATTCCTTTGAAGCAGGGTCTCTGTCTGAACCTGGGGCTGACATTGTTTCTCAGTTAGGCAAGAAGGCAGCAAAGCCCCAGTGATCCTCTGTCTCCACTCGCCTGAAAGCTAAGTTTACATACAAGTAGGCACGGGGGCACCTGGCTTGTGTGGGTGCTGGGATCTAAGCTCCATCCCCAAAATTGCACAGCAGGTGCCTTAACGGCTGAGCCATCTCTCCAGCGCCCCTCCAATAACCCCTGGGGTTTGTACAGTGTTGGGGATGAACACCAGGGCCGTGTGCATGCTGGGTAAGCACTCTTCCAACTGAACTACTTCACTAGTCCTCAGCAGCTCAAATTTCAAATTTCATGCTCCTCTAGCCAGTCTGAGATTCTAGGGCAGATTTATTAGAGGAACCTTCAGTTACTAGGAAGTTTACACAAACCAACAAAGCATTTGGTTTAACTGAGCTAAAGTAAACTCTGCAAAACACGAGGAAGTGACTTCAGCATTTGCAAATATTCCAGAATGTCTTTGTGCCAGGAAAGGTCAGCTGAGGATCAGAATAGCAGGGATTCCAGAGTATACTTTGGAGAAATGTGAGCCTCTGGGAAGCATTACTCTGCAGATAGAGACACTTCACTGTGCATTTTCAGAGAGCCAAGGGAAACTCTTAAAGAGACATGTTTAAACCTTTCCATTACACTTCAGGCCACGACTGCATGAATAAGGTATAGATGATTGCAATGGTTAAAATCTCTAAAGCAGAAAAATAAATGTGGATTTTGAAACAAAGCAAGAAGAATTTTAGAAAACATAGGAAACTTCCAGATGATTCTTCTGGGCAGACAGTGTCTGTAGGAATGCTGGGCCAAGTTGGGAAAAATTAGTAAAAGCAGGCTCAGATGGTCTCAGGGAGCCCTCACTCCAACTAGGTGGGTAAAAGCACCTGCCACCCAGCCTGATGACTTGATTTCAATTCCTGAGACCCCCATGGTGGAAGGGGAGAAACCGGCTTTCACATGTCATCCTCTGATCTCCACATATATGTACACATACACACTTATACACACACAAATAAACAAAAGTAATAAAAATTAAAAACATGTTAAAAGGTTTCATGTTTAAGAATAGATTCATATTAATTTTTGTCATTGATAGGAAACTATGTTTAAGACTGAGTGACAGGGACTGGAGAGATGGCTCAATGGTTAAGAGTTCTCCAGTCCTTGCAGAAGACTTGGGTTTGAGTCCCAGCACCCACATGGCAGCTCATAATCACCTATAACTCCAGTTCTAGGAGATCTGATGCCTCCTCTGGCCTCCATGTGCTGCCTGCATACATGTGGTGTCCATACACTCAAGCATACACACCTACCCATTAAAAATGAAATAAGTATATATAATGTAAAGAACTGAATGATGGCCCTTGTAAAGCTAGGAACTTTCCAATCTCTATTCGAAAGGCGGCGGAAAAGCCAGGCATGGTGGTACTTGCCCGTAGTCCTAGCTCCTGGAGCCTACAGCCTAAGGCAGAAGGGTTGAGAGGACAGCCTGAAGAAGGCCCCGTTTCATTAAAGAAAAACAAAAGCATTGGGCACTGGAGGGAAGGCTCCGTGCGAAGAGCCCTTGCTGCTCTGGCAGAAGACAGAGTTCTGATGCCAGCACCTACAGCAGCTGGTTCACAACCACCCGCAGCTCCAGCTCCGGGGGACCCAACAATCTCTGCAGCCTCCAAAGGCACTCATGGCTGCGTAAGCATACACACACACACACACACAAATACACAAATAAGTAAAAGTAAATCCTTTTTAAAAAGAAAAAAATGAAGACATATATATCTGAATCCTAGCTCTGAAGAGGTAGAGGTAGAGTATCAGGAATTAAAGGTCATCCTTGGCTACATAGAGTTCGAGGTCAGCCTGGACTACATGAGACCCTGCCTCAAAAACAAAACTGGGGGTGGGAGGGGACTAACTCACAATGAATACACGGCAGACCAAATGACAGAACGGAGACTACATCTACACTGAACAAAATAAATACAGAGGAATTAAATCCCACTACTCAGAGACCAAGGTTTTCAACACGGTTAGAAAACTGGAGAAATTAGGGGAGTCCGTTTAAATAGAGACGAGTGTATGTGTATGCAATACACACAGAGGCCCATAACTTACATCATTTGGAAAGTTGTAGAAATATGTTTGTAAGAGATAGGAAAGGGTCCCCCAAAAAAGTGCCAACATCATAACCTTGTTTGCCTACAGAGAATGTCTCACAGGAGGCAGGAGTGAACTTTCCTGTCTCACAAATGTGTGCATTGTTTGAATCTATTATAGAATGCATAAAGCCAACAAAATAAAGAGAGATGAATATTAAGTATAAAAGCTGAATCAGTATAATAGAAGCTACAGAGGACAAAGCTTCAGGAAGACTGAAACCAACAGAAGATTCCCCCCCCGAGAGACTTAGAGGCCAGGTATGGTGATACACATCTTTAAACCCAGCACTTGGGAGGTACAGACAGGCAGATTTCTTTGAGTTTGAGGCCAGCTGGACCTACATAGTGAGTTCTAGGACAGCCAGAGCTACATAGTGAGATCCTGTTTCAGAAAACCAAAACTGAGGGCTGAGGAAATGGCTCAGCAGTTAAGAGCAGGGGCTGTTCTTCCAGAGGTCCTGAGTTCAATTCCCAGTAACCGTAAGGTGGCTCCTAACCATCTATAGTGGGATCTGATGCCCTCTTCTGGCATAAAGCTGCCCATGCAGATAGAGCACTCATACACAGTAAAAAAAGAGAAAGAGACAACCAAGCCAACTAAACACACTAAAACAAAAAACTACCCCCAAACAAACAAACAAACAATAAAAGAGGCTTCGCAGGGCAGAGAGAAGGGCAACCAAGCCGACGGCATGAGTTCAGTTCCAGGGACCCACAGGCTAGAAGCAGAGTCAACTGTGAAATTGTTCTCTGCCCTTCATGTGTGCCAAGACAGGTCCACGCACCCCACCCTCAATGCTCATAAAAAATTAATTTAAAAATAGCCTATGCAGAAAAGGAGGAAATGAGTTTACAAGTTATAAAATTGTCACATAAGTGGGTGATGGCCCATCAATTAAAAGCTCATTGCTTGATGGCCAGTCTTGGTTGTCAACCTGACTCCCATCTGAAATCAGCTGGGCATGCCATGCCTGTGAGGATTTTCTCGATTGTGTTAATTGAGGTGGAAAGATGCACTCTAACTCTGGGCCACACCTTCTTCTGGAACACCTTCATACCGAAGGACATGGAAGAAGGAAGCTTTGGCTTTTTTGCCTGTTTGCCCTGACTCTCCCAGTATAGTTCATCCGTTTTGGTCCTGAGGCACTGAACCTACTTCTTCAGGATTCCAACGCAGACTGAAGACTGGCAGCCCTCTAGGAATCCTCTGGGATTTCAGTACCAGATTGGGACACTGGAGACGTCCAGTCTCCCAGACTGAGCGGCCACTGTACTCTTGGCTAGTCATTCACGACACAGCTAATGTTGACGAGCCAGACCACAGGCTGCAAGCCACTCCAATAAACTCCCCTTGCACACAGTCATTGTATGATTCTAAAATCTCTTTCCCATATTTCTGGGCCCAGAAGGCTTTACAAGAGTATCTACCAACTTTCAATAAGCAGATCTCTATGCCACACCAGCTGTGTCTTCATATAGAAAACAGGAAACACTGCCTGATTTAATGTTATTATAAACTGGCAGGGAGAGGTGATCACGTGATCACCTTGCCAAAGACAGAATAAGCATTTGATAAAGTTCCACCCACAATCAAAAGCAAAACCAAAAGTGTTTACAGACAGCATTAGGACAAGCCTCTGTGCCCTCCACCTCCCACCCTCTCAGCGGCCCAAGTCCAGATGGTGGAGCCACCACGCTAGATGCATTTTCTTTTTATTAGAAAACAGTATTAGGGATTTTTATTTATTTTCCATGGTTGTTGCTTCAGTTCAGCTCAGGGGGAGAGAAAGGTGTCCTGGAGAGAATAAATAGCTTGTGAAAGCAAGCCACAAAACAGGAGATGAAAACCTAATTTTTCTGACTTATGAAACAGAATGTGCTAAAAGCAATGCCCGCTAGGATGACACACAGGGGAGACCCATGCATCATAAAATTAGGACATCTGGTCACCTTTCTCAAATCCAGACCTCTTTTCTTAAAGATCAGATCAAGTTTTGTTCCGGCCGTGGACCTTGGGTCCGACCTGAGACCGGCTGGAATGAACTTCTACGGAGACAAAAGCTGGTTACAAGGGGCTTCTTGTGCCCACGGGCCAGACAAAAAGCTGCCACTCAAACATAAACAAGTGTCTGAGGACTTGGTCCCTTTACTCTCAGCTCGTGGCACCTCTGCCATCTATTCCCTCTCTACCGTAAAACAGTCTCACTGTGTGGCCTTGGCTGAGACCTGGAACTTGCTGTGTAGACCAGGCTGGCCTGGAACTCAGAGATCTCCTCTGCCTCTGCCTACAGAGTGCTGGGTTTGAAGGTGTTCTCCACCGAGGCACATCTGTATAATTTTTCTTGCCGGGGATGGTGGATGCCCTGAGGGCAGCGGCTGTCTCCAGAGCTCGGGGTCCACCTAAGTGTGTAGACCTCACCAAAGGCAAGATAAGGGAGCCCCGTTTTTCATCCTTCTGCTGGGAAGCCGGAGATTGGTTTGTGGTCTGGGGAGGGCTCTCTACCATCTCTAAGCGCACCCATCCCTGGCCATCTTTGCTGGCGTGGGCTTGTGGCCCCTTCAGAACAAGCCTCTGACTTCACATAGGGGAAGGACCCTGGAAGAGGCCTTGGTTCTGGCCTTGTCCTAAAGCCTATGATCAAGGAAGGTGAGTTTTCTGGGTCTGGTAACACTCAGAAGGCAGGACAGGTGCACAAACCTTGGCAGCTAAGAAGTGGCTGAGGCTGACAGGTAAGGGTGGAGGGTAGGTTATGAGCTCCTGTGAGCTCAGGTTGGGCAGGGTTCTGCATTCAGATGCATCCCCCACATGGGATTTTATAGAAATGGGGGGCAGGGAGGGAGGGAGAGAGAATGTGGGGGTGCTGCAAAAATGAAACGTGGGCTCAGATGGTCAAAGCACCACCGGGACCCTGGACTGCTATATCCCGGGCGGGCTGGTCCGAGACTTCTTGGATCCTCCAGCCTTACCTAGTGGTTCTGAGTCACTCGGACCCCAGCCGTGCCATGATTAGGACCCTCCCGGCTCCAGGCCAGGCGTCCCTGTGACCTGCGTGGACCCGGAGCTTGTCGCCTGCTCCGCAAGGAGGAGCCCGAGAGCGGCCGGGGCTGAGCTTACCTTGCCTGCGGGGGCCCGGGGTCCAGGGGTCTGGGCTCCGCTCCCCGCACCGCGGCTGCATCTCCAGTCGTCGCGGCCGCTTTGTTTCTCTGAAGAGAAGCTGCAAAGCGAAAGCGAAAACCAGGGGAGGCGGGAGCGCGCCCCGAGCGAACGCGACCCACGGGCGGGCGCTGTGGGCTGGAGGGCAGTGCGCGCGCGCGGCCGGTGGTGCCACTGCGACCTCTTAGGCGCGCTGCTGCCAAGTGCCGGGAACGCTTGCCCACGCGTGAGCCAGGGTCACGGATCCCGGATGAGCACCATTCAGTGCCTCTGCCTTGGACTGGACTTGACCACTGGTAGCGCTTTGGTCTGGCCTGGGGGCAGCCAGTCCTGGCTTGGGTGACTGGAACTGCGTGAGCCTACTTCGCTGGGGGGAGGTAGCAACTTAAACCTTTCTAATGCTGGGACCCTTTAATACAGTTTCTCATGTTGTGGGGGACCCCAACCACAAAATTATTTTCGTTGCTACTTCATAACTGTAATTCTGCTATTGTTATGAGTCAAAATGTAAATACTTTCAGAGATAGAGGTTTGCCAAAGGGGATGCAACCCACAGGTTGAGAACAGCTGTAAAGAGTTAACTGTGTAACGGTTCTATTTGATGTGTGTGTGTGGCGGATGGGGGTGGGGGGTGGAACTCACAGATATCCACCTGCCTCTGCCTCCTGAGTGCTGGGATTAAAGGTGTGTGCCACCACCTAGTTCTAAGCATTTTAAAGGAAGTTTCTTGTTGCCCTAGGTAATGGCTATTAACTAGTCTTCATACGCCACAAGAAGACATGGAGCAAATCAGTGAGGGGATGGGAAGATGATTTAGTCAGTGAAGTGTTTGCTCGCCCTGCAAACACGAGAACCAGAACTCAGTCTCTAACGCCCCACAAAAAGCTGGACAAGCAATATGCCTGTATTCCCAGCATCAGGGAAGCTGAGACAGGAGAATTACTGGGGTATGCTGGCCAGCCAAGTGACCGGGGTCTGTGGAGTCCAGGCTCAGTGAGAGAACCTGTCTCTAGAAGATAGCTGGGCTGGCAAGATGATTCAGCAGGGCAGGGCACTTGCCACCAAGCCTTAGGCTCTTAGTGTAATCCCCAGGCCCCATGTGGTGGAAGACAAGAACCAGCTGCCACAAGGTGACATCTGACCACATGTTCATGTGGTACAAGCTTGCTTGCCCCAACACACACACACACACACACACACACACACACACACACACACACACACACACAGAAAAGGAAATGACCCTCATCTGGGACCTCTGGGCCTACACTTGTGTGTGTGTGTGTGTGTGTGTGTGTGTGTGTGTGTGTGTGTATACTCACATGTGCATAGCACAACCACACACGTGTATATATCACACACACAAAAGGTGGTGAACCAAGTGAGGAAGATATTGACATTGAACATCAAGTTCCACATTTGCACACACATTCAAAAGCACTTGGGTGAAAAGGGAGATCCTTCATGTCATCAGAAAAACTGGCAAGGTTAAGGTTTGGACTCCTTGGTCTAAGTGATGCCCGCCTCCCTGCCTGGGGTTAGGTCCCACACTTATCAATTACAAGGGACAAATGAGATCCTTTCATGTGATAAAAAAACTGGAAACGAAGGCTTAAGGTTTAGACTCCCGGGTCCAATGCTGTCTATCAATACCTATTGACCAGACCCTAATCTTACCATGATTTGGGGCACAGTATTTAACTAGCCTTAGATTCTTCCCCTGGAGGATGAGGATAACAGCCACACTTCCTTCCAGGTTTTAGGCAGGAAATGCAACCATCACTGAAGAAAATACTTGACAGACTATTTTCTACGAGCCTCTAGGTGGGTGCCTTGAGAGCAATGGCTAAATCATTGTGGATTGACAAGGGTTGGTAAGATTGGGGGTGTCTCCATGATAACAGGATAGTTTTAAGTTTGGACTTTGCCATCTGCACACAGAACACTGGGGATGTACTGCAGTCTTTGGGGAAGACTTCGAACACCAAACCCCACAATTAGCTGCTACAGTTAACCTACTGGAATACATTTTTGCCAAGGCAGAACTGCCACAAAGTTTGCCCAAATGCTGTAAGCACTGTCTAGTACTGGCCAGACACCTGCAAGCGTTTCTAACACTTGCTATTGGGAAATGTTACGACAAATACGGTTAGCTCTCTCTCTGTCTCTGTCTCTGTCTCTGTCTCTGTCTCTGTCTCTGTCTCTGTCTCTGTCTCTCTCTCTGTGTGTGTGTGTGTGAGAGAGAGAGAGAGCAAATATAAAACAATTTTTGTTACAGAGCCCAGAGAGAGCAGTCCAAAAATGGAAGTGAAAACCCAAATGAACTATATAACCATGAGTCACTTACTTTTTTGTTTGTTTGTTTTGTTTTGTTTTTTTGTTTTGGTTTCTTGATACAGGGCTTCTCTGTGTAGTTTTGGTGCTGTCTTGGAACTCACTCTGTAGCCCAGGCTGGCCTTGAACTCACTGAGATCCGCCTGTCTCTGCCTCCCAAGTGCTGGGATTAAAGGCATGTGCCACCACCACCGGCTTGCTTTACACTTCCGTACCTTGCACCTGCCCTGCAGAATGGAGGCCTTGGTCTATGCCCTAAGCAAGAGATTTCAGTGTTTTCTGTAGGAGCAGGAGGGGAAGTGAGACTGCCTAGATGATGATGTTATGAAAGCAGAAGCTCACATCTCTCCTTCAGGAGGTGTTTTGTTGTTGTTGTTGTTGTTGTTGGTTTTTTTTTTTTTTGTCTGCAGCATGAAGAAAATGGAAAACATTAGAAATCCAAGGCAAGCCTCTTCCTCAGTGTGGGGCAGTTTTGACTCATGGGAGCAGAGTGGAGCTCTGCCTGTGTTTTTGTGTAAAGAATGTCTGGGAAGGGTTAAGACAGGATGCTGCTTAATTTTTCTTAACTAAAGAGAAACTAGAGTTACTTGGGAAAAGGAACCCTCAATTGAAGAATTGTATCCATCAAATTGGCACATAGACATGTTTTGGAGAGGAGAGATTTTTCTTGATTGACAACTGATATGGGAGGGACCAGCTCACTGAGGGAGGTGACAGCCTTGGCCAAATGGTCCTGAGTTGTATAGAAAAGCAAGCCGAGCAAGCCAATGGGTAGCAATCCAGTAAGCAGCATTCCTCTATGGTCTGTGAGTCGGTTCCTGACTCAACAGGTTCCTGCCTTGAGTTCCTCACCACATCCCTCAGTGATGGACTGTAAGCTGTAAGAGGTAAACTTTTTCGGGAATCTGGACGCGGTTGTCATTCTGGGGTCTCCTGGTTCCATGGGTCCGTCATCGTCGCCATGGTGAAGCTGAGCAAAGAAGCCAAACAGAGGCTGCAGCAGCTTTTCAAGGGCGGCCAGTTTGCCATCCGCTGGGGCTTTGTTCCTCTCGTGATTTACCTGGGATTTACGAGGGGTGCAGATCCTGGAATGCCTGAGCCATCGCTTTTAAGCCTGCTTTGGGGATAAAGGACTGTTTGGTCATCTGGATTCGGAAGCAATCCAACATGGAAGGTGTGTACTCTGGCTGGATAAGAAAGACATCGTTTCAACGCATCTGTGGCAGAGTGGAGTCTGTACTGACTTAAGATAGACTGTCAAAATAAATATTTTTAACAATGTTAAAAAAAAAAAGAAGTTAACTCTTTGCTCCCCAGTTGACTTTGATGAGTGTTTTATTACAACAACAGACACTAGACTAGAACAGCCATGAAGAGAGGAAGGAATTCCCAAAGGGAAAGCCAAATCCCAGTTTCATGCACACGTGTGCCTTTGAGTGTGGAGGCCTGAGGTCATCAAGGAAAGCCAAATCCCAGTTTCATGCACATGTGTGCCTTTGAGTGTGGAGGCCTGAGGTCATCATCCGCTGTCTTCCTCAATCACTCTGTGCCTTATTTTTTGAGACAGGGTCGCTCCATGAACCTGTAGCTTGTAGATGCAGCTAGGCTGGCTGGCCAGCAAGCCCCAGGAGTCCTCCTGTCTGCCTCCTCAGTGTTGGCTTTTACATGGGTACTGGGGTGGAAATCAGGTTCTCAGGCTCCTGTAGTAAGTACTTGCTGTCAGGGGCATCTCCCCAGGCCCCTGGGTGCTTCTTATAGCTAGCACACTTAACTAGAGTGCTAGGAAGCCAAGGCTCCTAGAATCTTAGTGATTTCTGTAGGTCTATATTTGGGTCCCCTTGGGGGGACATGAGAGTTCACCTGATTTTCAGCATTCTAGCATTGATTAGTGCTGTTATACAAACTGAGGATGCCAGTTTAAATCTTTCATATACTTCATTCAATCAGTGGTAGGTAGCAGGCTATTGGGGTGGTTCAGCAGTTCAATCTCTGGGACCCATCCGTTGGAAGGAGAGGACAATATGACTCCCAAATGTCATCCTCTGACCTCCACATGTGTGCATTGGTGTGCCTCTCAATAAGTAAGTGTAACAATTAAAAACCAAAAAAACCAAACTCTAAACATTAGGTAGCAACCAGAGAAAATGCAGACATCATGCCAGTGCTGGTGATTGAACAGCAAACAAAAATGAATGTGGTCTTTGCCTTCAGGACACATCCTGTAGTGAGGAAGTAAGAGCAGTCAGTCAAACCTAGAATAACCAGGGAGATGTCATTGTTCAAGGGCCAGGGAGATGCTCAGCAGGTAAGGGCCCTGCTGCCAAGCCTGTTGATGTGGGTTTGATTCCCCAGGACCCACATTATGGAAGAGGGCACCTGTCTCCTGACTTTCAGAGACAGGCCCTGGCACATGTACACACACACACATACACACATGGACACACAAAAGAATAAAAAGATCTAAATCCTACAGGAACAACTAGCAGGTGGAACTTGCCTCACCATCAAGTCTGAATTCTCGGGCTTCCTGTTAGTGTAGCCTGTGCCTCTGCCCTGCTGCCCGGCGGCACTTCCTACTTCCTACTTCCGCTTCCCTCCTTCCCGCTGCTTTCTCAGCAGCAGACCTGCATCCAGACCTCAGTCTTTCCCGGCTTAGCCTTCTTTTTGTTCCCCTTTATGCTCCCTACTCTCTCTCTAAACACCCCACACTTCATTATATCTCCTTGCTGTGCGGGAGGACCCACACAGACACAGTCATGGCCTGACACTGAGCTGGAGCCTTGGAGGGATTTTGGAGACCTTGGGAGTGATGACCAGACGGGCAAAAAAAGAACCACCATGTCTCAACTTCCCTACTTTAATGGGGCTCTTGTGCTCAATACCAAGCTACCAGTCATGTCTTCCTTATGGGGGACTAGTCTCATCTGCAAAGCTTTGCTCCGCCACCATCCTCTCTCTGATTAAAGTTCAGTGTTGGAGCTCTTTCCCTCTAGAGAAAAAAGAAGCTCCCATCC